TAGATAGAGAGATAGATAGATAGATAGATAGATAGATAGATAGATAGATAGATAGATAGATAGATAGATAGATAGATAGATAGATAGATAGATAGATAGATAGATAGATAGATAGATAGATAGATAGATAGATAGATAGATAGATAGATAGATAGATAGATAGATAGATAGATAGATAGATAGATAGATAGATAGATAGATAGATAGACAGACAGATAGATAGACCGCTTTACAACCTAACTGTTTTTTGCTACTTTTCCTTTTAATGATCCTTTTAATTACCATTTAATTTTCACATGTTAAAAAAAAAAAAAATGCACATTTTATGATTGTTTATTATAGTCTTTGTTGTCCACTGTTGTCATCACTCTGTTAAAATTAGGTCTCTCTTGTAAATGAGTCACAGTCCAAGTGAGAGACTCCACCAAGGGCGGTAGAAAATGGCAGAGCTAATTTATGGTGGAGCTTACAAAACCAAATCTCCAAACAGATCATGTCTAACCAATCAGATGTTGTGGTTATCAATAAGCCACAAAAGAAGTTAGTGGTGATCCATCCATCTATCCATTATCTTTACCCGCTTCTTCCTTTTAGGGCAGCGGGGGTCGCTGGTGCCCATATCCAGTCATCAGTGTGCGAGAGGCTGGATACCTCCAGAAGCGTGCCATCCTAGAAACAGCTAAGATTCTGCACGTGAGCATCAAATTAAGTGAAAATGTCCATGATGTGGAGAAATAGGATGAGCTGTGCGTTTATTTATTTACTGAGTGTGTATTTGGAAATTAATCATTTGATAGAGCATAGTCACTGTGTATCGTCTTCTTCGTCAATAAATCTGTGTAGTATGGATGTGGAATATTTTCCATACGAAATGTCACATGACATTTTATAATATTCTAATTATATTCTAAATCATATTCTAAGTGACAGTCTTACCCCACTAAGGCAAATACAGACTGAGAATATTGGCTTGAAAAATGAATTTCCATTTTAAAAGCTCCTCCATTCACTAATCTTGAATGGCTTATATCATAAGGCTTCAGTGCCTAAAAAGTTGATGGCAATGAAGAACATAGAGATTGAATTATGACTGAAAATTAGATTTCAATTGTCTCCAGGAAATGCATAATTCCTGATCTAATAATATGTATTTGACAAATTATGATTAGAATATTGCTACTATCTGCAGAGGTGATAATTTTATCTGCCCAAGACCTTGGTATACTCCATTAATACATAATGTATAGTCAGTACCTATAGGGTAATGTGCAGTAGAGGGTGAAAGCAGAATGACTATGTGGTCTCTGGGCAGTCTCACTTATTAATCCATCATGCAGGTTAATTGATACCAGACACCTGGATGGTAGCTTCAAGCCCTTGCTCAAACATGATTTGTATCATACAGGCAGGAAACATCTTGATCAGAATGGGTTATTGTTTAAACCACATTTCAGACTAAATGATAAATCATATTATGATAGGCAGTGATGTTCTCAGTAAGCCATAAACATTATTTTAAGTTTTGGAGGGAAAAAAATGCAGCAGACCTCAACTCAATGGCATGTCTCTCTGATATATATGGG